GAAACTTCCAAAAAATATTCTTGCTAGTCAACAAGCAAAAACTATATCCAAAGAAAATATTGGGAAAAGGCAAAACATATATAATTATCGTAATTCTGTTAATTTTGAATTAAGTTAATAATTTTTAACTTAGAAAATTATTTATTGCAAAATTATTTGAAAGACTCATTTAAAGTATATGCAATTTAAGAAAGTTTTCCTTGAAAAGCATGCTAGGTTTGGTACAACAGTATAAGAAAAACTCTTTTATTTCTCTATATTTCACAAAAAAACACCAAATAACTATTGGTCAACCCTCGTTGAACTTTGTTTTTCCCACTAAAACCCTGTTTTTCCCGCTAAAACCCTAACTTTTCCTACAAACACCAACCAACTTTAACATCGTCATTTTTGAACTACAATCTTCATTTAGAGTTAGTTGCAATTATAGATAACTAATGAATCTATCTTGAAAATCTAGGCTGAAATTAATAATTTGAGAGGCTAATTTCCAATTACTAAAGACATAGGAGGCTAATATGAAAATAACCCTTCTTTAATGGGTATTTAGATGTTAGTCCCTCAATTCTATGAAATTACTCATTAGTCCCTCAGATCCTAGGGTTATTGCAATTTTGTCCCTCAAAGACCAAAATACTTTCAACTAATTTTTTTAAGTGTTATATGCAATTTGGTACTTTAAGGTTTACATCTTTCAAAACTTGAACAAATTTTTAAAACCGACCATTTTTCAATTTTAATTAGCATTTTCGACATGTTTCACTTTTAGTTAGCATTTTCGACCTAATTTCAGCCATTTGGCTGAAATTGGATAAAAAATGCTAAATAATTTTAAAAAACTACACGTGATTGATAACCCTGTATAGTTTAGCACAAAATTAATCTACACTAAACTTAGCTTTCAATCAAAGCAATCTTTACGAGATGAAGTTTGCTTTGATGACGAATTTCACAAGATTGGCAATCCCGTGAAGCTACAAGGTAAGCTCACAAGGAGTTCCAATCTGAACTCTCTGCCAGCCTTGCAAACTTCACAGGATTTAGCAATCTCGTGAAGCTGCGACGTAAGCTCATAGAGAGTTCTTATTTGAACTATTTGCGAAACCAACCCTGCAACTTCACGGGATTCAGAATCCCATGAAGCTACAGGATATGCACACTCACGCATGCACAATGACTTTTCCTCCTCTTTCACAATCTGTCATATACATAATTTGGCAATAATATACACGACAATCCAACCACATACACGAAATTTTAATCGCATTTATACATGAAATTTCAACCACATATATACACGAAAATCCACCCACACAAGCAGCAATGTCGAACAATCCAACTACAGCCTAACCATATATATTCACGAGATTTAGAATCACAAAATAAATATCATATCACAAAATAAATATCATATCACAAGATAAACATCACATATATCCTGAAAGTCCTCCCCTCCTTTCTCTCCCTCTCTTACTCCTTCCCCTACCTCATCCCCCTCCCCTCACATCCTTATCCCGCCCTTGGTGTCCGTGATCATGAGCCTTGATGATCTGACTATCCGATTGTGTATGAGGCTGAGAAATGCTAGTTCCATCATCATGCAATGTACTGTGATAAGTTCTAGCTCCATCATCACGCGGCACTCTAGAAACCATCTTATGTTTTTGCGCCTACACCTGTAAAAATTGACGTGTCCTGTCCTTGCATCCTTCAAATTCACTGGCGTGATTCCTATCAAACGCATTTGCTATTCTCTGCATGATCTTATTGAATACTGATATTGCTTTTGGGTCTCGAATATTAGAAATACTCTCATTTATATCTCCCTCAATCTCATGATGAATGGATCTCTAATTTAGTCGGTATACACACAGCTTAGCAAGTAGTATAATTTCAAAATAAGAATATTCTTTTTGAATGAGTTTAAAAACTTATGTAATCACTCTCTATCATGGCCCTAGGGATGTAAGTATCCGATGGTGGGGGGTGGTATGAATCTAGCTGCTGGATGGGAGTTGCGTACGCTCCATCTGCATGTGATATTCTAATACCAACACATATACTTGTTATAACTCACTAGATTCCTCTCATTCTCTATAAGATTACACCTATCATTACATCTGTTTATATGTCATCAGCTACATGCGATCAATGGGCTCACCATTATCTAACACATGCTATTCAAGATTAAATTGTCGTAGAGAATGATCTGACACGTGCATCTCCACAATTGCAAAACAGATCATCAGGACTCTAGCCCTCCACAAAAGCAGTGCTTTCTCTACAAATAGGTACAAGGGAATCGAGATCTTGTGGAGCATAGGGCGTCTACTTGAATTGAAAATTATATTTAAAAAACATCTATTAGCATCTACAGAAAAATTTGAATATAACTTTTGAATTGTGTCTTATTTTATCTGTTTGTGTTAATGATACCTAGCTCATTTCTATAAAACTCATGCATGTTTGGTTGGGGTTATGTAGGATTACCTCCTCACATTATATCAATTTGACATAAAAAAAGATATGAGAACAAATTCAATATGAATAGAACTAAGAAATAAAAGTAATCGGAAATATTACAATATCATACCTACATCCAAATGGCAACATGTCTAAGGTGGTCGCTTCACGCACTTAAATATGAATATCCTTTGGCCTTAGATCGAGATCCTTCCTTAGTTTAGGCATAATCAATCGATATATCGAAGAGTCGAATGCATGTTTATGATTTTTCTCTAATCAAGGATTGGTACATGTGTGAATTGTATTGTAATGTGTTATTTTAAATTGTCCGCCTACTCTTACCCCTAAGCGTGAGTTAAGCTTCCAAGGACACTTTGCATTTTCGTCGTGGTGAACACCGACATCTTCTTATTCACTATCTTTGTTGTAAAAATAAATTATATTATAGCTTGTTCCATTATTTTTTGTCTACTTAAACTAAACATTTTTAACGGACCATAAACTAATTGCATGAATCAATTTCTCCTTGCTTTAAAATAGATCACCTTTTCTGAATGTGAAGTCGTCGCCTTCTGCATCATTATTTAAATTTGGGCCTATAGGAATATTTTTATTATTGACTCATCAATCAATCCATCTCCATGAGATTCATCGAGCGGCAGATTCTCTAATACAACATACTTATTATTAGAATAACATTAGTTGATTAATTGGTTGTCCCCTTCATTACGACCTATCAAACTTATCATGCTATTAGTTTATAAGCCGTCTTCTTCATTATTATCCTCGGATTTGACACTTACATTCTCTTCCTCTATCATCACTCCTGTGGAAGGCCTTATATTTTGATGGAGAGCGCTATCACCAAAGGCACTTGAAGTCCCTACAAGAGAAGGTTCACTCGAGTATTGTGATTGATTGTGTCAAATTTGTTGGGTCCTTTTGTTTTGATGATGATTAATAAATAATTTACAACTAATATTGTTTGTCTAGTATTTATATTTCGTATTTATTCTAGGCAAACAATATGTTGGAAGATGGATGGAATCGAGCATTCACGATCAAATCCAATGGAGGTTGGCGGAATTGTGGAGTGAAGCATTGCATTCAAGTTAAAGATCCAAGCTCCCGGTTCATCCGCACAGTTTACCAAGTCGAGCTCATTGAAGACCTTCAAGCTTGGGTAATTTAGTTTTATGTTTTATATTATGT